GTCTGCTGTGGTTATGAGACGTCTTTGTATAAAATGAAGGGCGCAAAAATTGCGCATAAAACCTGAAATGCGCTTAAATGGCGGTCGACTGATTGACTACATACATATGTATATGTATGTGTACAGAAGATAAAAGGAAATATTCAAGCAAAAAGTATACAAAATCTATAGAGAAAAGATACATACATACATACAAGGAGCAAAAATCAAGGCATTTCAGCTTTTATATATTCAATAGGATATCTGGCATACTTCCAGAAATATATATATATGTACAGATATACGCAAATCAACGAAACATAGATTTTTTTTTAACTTGCTCAACATAATTTTTTGCTTCTCAACTGCGTTAATGCGGCCGAGAGTGACCAGCTGAAATGCAAAAATTCGCATAAATATGCATAAAAGTCGAATTGCCCGACGGGCACAATGACCAAACTATATACAAGCATACATACATACACAGACATTTGCAAACCTTTCGGAAGACCGACGAGTCTACAGCTGTAAAGTCAAGATGATGATCGCTGTGCAAGTACGCATGCGCAGCACCAAGCAACAACAATGCCTATTCTATGTATATGAATGCCAGACAATCATAATAGCTACAACAAAAATAACAAAAACAACGAAAGTTCAATATTAGTCAAAAGCTTTGAACGTTTTAGGTATTTGTTGCAAGTTCTTTTAATTTTTTTTTTCTTAATTTTTGCATCATGTGCATGATACAGAACAGCGATAAGGAAGCGAATGCGAGGCGCGCATTGGCGGCGCATTAAAACGCATGGACCGCTGCATGGTTACATGGTCAAAGTCCAGTTCAGCAAGTGATGAGCAACAAAGTGATGGTGTGCAGGCGCATTGAGGTTCACTTAATGTTGCATTTGGTGCAATTAACCCGAAAGAAACTTGTGTCTGTTATAAGTTATGTGCGAAAATATAGGAAGCAAAGCAAAAAATATATGTTGCAACTGAAAGACATGTGGGTCTTAGATTTTCCTGGTAAAGGAAATATAGAATATTTGATGTGAAAGAAGCTTTCTTAAAATTAAATAAAAATAGAAAAATCTAAAAATATTTATATTGAAGACATTCATTTTATTATAAATATTAACAAGCTTTACATGCGCCTAGTTACTGAAAATTTTCTACGAAAACTGTTGAAGAAAATATGTTTAATTAAAATAAAAAAACGAATGAATAATAATAAAAATAATATTTATAAGTTAAACTTTTTTATTAATTTCGAAGTTTCCAAATTTATTTTTTTTACTCATTTAATTTTTTATTTTTAAAAATCAAAATTAAATTATTTTTATTTTAAATGATATTTATAAATAAAATTAAAAAAAAATGAATAGCTTTTCTTTATTGATTTCGAAGTTTTTGAATTCTACTTTCTAAATTTTTATTTTTAATTTTTTATTACCGTTATTGGTATTTGTAAACTCACCTATCACATATGTAGGTGCCCTTCATTCGCCAAAAAATAAATAAATAATTAAAATTCCAACTACTGTCCGTCAATAAGCTTATTTACATATGCATTGGCACAGTTCGGCGGCGTATAAAAGTTGTAAAACTTGTTTCTCGCATTTTTACTATCTTCCTGTTGCAGCCAAGCAAAAAATAAGAAATAATAGTAATACACTCAACTCTTCGATATTGGGAATATTGGTCACAATTTTTAGTCAGCCAGTCGTGGCTGTTGCCACATGAGGTTAGTGTGGCCAATGTCAACAATGTTACCGCTTTCAATGTCATGGTTGAACAGGTTAAAAGCAAATAAATGTTTTGAATTAAAATTTAAATTATTCTTTGCCAACTTGATAACTATTATTTATTTAAACTGAAATTTTTCTAAACAAATTTAATTTTCTTCAAACTTTCTCAAAACATTTTCGTTAAATTCCAACTTCTAAGAAATTAAGAAAAGTTTCATATTTATATGTATAGACAAATTTTTTGAAGCAAGGAATTTTTTTTCATGCCACAAAATGTTGCACGTTCAAAATTTTGCACTTTCATGCCACTAATTGTTGCATGTATTCTAGAAGGCGGTACACGCTTTGCATTATAACGCAGCAACACATCACCACGTTCTTGCTCATATCGAACTTGCAGCAAATTGAATCAAATTAAAGCACAAATTCAACTCTCACCATTCGCTACATATATGTATGTATATCGACGCGAATACAGTGAAGAGCCTTTTCGTCGTCCAAACCTTTTTCCTTGCAACTCACACACACATACCCACAAAGTCGCGACAAACTTTAACTGGGCCAGACAGTCGTCAACACTCGTCAGTGCTAGTGTTTGTCTTGTCACTTCGTGCAACTTCCAAAGGGACTACAAGAATGCGCCGCAAAAATTCCTTAGCGCGGACGTTGACGCTTTTTTCTTTCTGGCCAACTGCAGTAGAAGCCGCAGCTGTTGTTGTTCTTGTTGTTGCTGTTGCTGTTGCTGCTAGTGGTGCGCTGGCGGTTTGACGGATAACATGCGTACAAATCAATTTTCTGCAAGAGCAGACGCGCTTAACAATTGTGTCGCTTATTTGGGTTGTTGTTGTTGTTGTTGTTGTCGCATTGGCAATGCCATCACATAGTAGCATCAACATAAGCATAACATAACAATAATCATAATAATAATTACAATAACAATAATCGTTGTTGATGATAACAATACCCAGCGGTAGAGTGTGGCGGGGAATTTGAAGAAAAAAATAATTATTGCAATTCCAACAGAAATTTGAAGTGAAATATTTTTATTATTATTTTTGTTTTCCGTTTTGGTTGCACGCGCACGCGCTTACAAAGGCATTAGCAGCTCATACATATATATACATACAAAATGTACATTTCAGCGCGTATTTATGGGCCGATCTTTGCGCGTTGGTCCGTCAGATGCCTCATTCTGATAATTACTATACCAACAACAGTAGGAGTAGACAACAACAATAACAATTGCAATAACAATGAAAATAACAATAATCATAAACATAATAATTTTTTGATTAATCTGTCAGTGTTGAGGTTGACAGTAGAATTTCACTGCATGCATGCAAGTTGATGCAGCGGTGTAGCATGCAATACCATGAACACACTCACACACACATGCAATATATACGAGTACATTTGTACATGTATCAGTGTGGCAATTAATTGAGCGAAAAATGCTGCTTGCAACGAGTGCGAAAATTTTATGATGAATGCATGTATACTATATGTATGTATGTGAGAATGATGATGCGTTGATGAAGCTGATGGGCAATTAAAAAATATTTGCATAAACGGCAGCGAGTGTGAACAAATATTTTATTTGAAAAAAAAAAAAATAAAAAAAAAAATATGGACTGCAAAATTTTCGGTGCAGCATAATGTGTAGATATAGAAATGCATTCTTCTTTCATATATAATATTTTACAAATATATTTATTGCTTATATTCTAAAATTTGCATAAAGGTGATTTTACCGTAGTTGTTTTTTTCCATTAGGAAGAATTAAACATAACAATGTTATGTCAAAATTTGGCAAGATATAACTTTCTTGACAAAAATGTTATGACATTAAAAAATAAAAACTTAAAATTAATAAGCATTTTTCCTGAAAAATCTAATGATTTTCAAATACAAATTTCATGACATAAATGTTATGACATAAATGTTATGACATAAATGTTATGACATGAATATCTACCATGAATGGCATGAAATAAAATTTTACCAAAAATCGCATGTCATAAATATCGTGTCATAAATGGCATGTTATAATTATCTGACCATAAATAGCATACCATAAGTGACATGATATAAATATCTAACCTTAAATGTCCTGGCTTAATTAGCTAATTGTATCATGAATATCATAAATGTCATGACATAAATATCCTACCATTAGAGTCGAAGCATAAATTTTGAGATTTAAGCTACGCAATTTTACAAGTAAGCAATATTTTTTTCCAAATTACTTTTCCAAGAAAAATGGTATGCCATTAGAAGTTCAAAGTTTAATACGTATTTCACTTTATTTATTTAACAAAATAACTCCGTACTCTAGTAGCTTGCAAATAAACTGTTTTCCATTTATTACTAAGCTAATTAAAGTGCTTAAGGTTTAATTTTAAGTTTAATTAATACCGTTAAAATTTTCACATATCAAGTAATTATCGTTATTAGTAACATTCAAGCATTTTTATACTATTCACAATCTAAACGTAATATACGATTTAAATGTGAAAAATATAATTTAATGGCGTAATATGAAAAAAAATTGTTTAATGTCATAACATATCTTCTACACACTTTTATCCAATATTTTATGTTATTACAATAAATGGCTTATTAAAATGCAATAATTTGCATAAAAATGTTTAATTACATTTAATTTGTCACATTGAGGGAACTGCAATAAATCACCTTTATGGAAATAATTAAATAACTAATATATAATTAATTATTTAGAATTGTTATTAATGTACAGTACATACATACATATGTTCGCTCTTATAATAGCTCAGTAAAAGTATAAGAGCTGCGCAAGTAATTGTCCCACATCATGCTAGGTCAAAGTCAAGAAATAGTTAAACGTACAACAAATACAAATTCAATAAATTTTATGCGAACATTTTCAACTAAAGTAAAAAGAAAAAAAACATTAAATTAAAAAAAAAATAGTTTGAATTTTTTTTTCAATAAATTGGCGCCCCCACGCTGATGCACCCATCCAGTGTATAGTTTAGCAAAATTCAAACATCTTGCCCTGTTAACAAAACTTATCGAAATTTGCAAATTTTCAAAAATAAATCCTAAATATTTGAAAACCTTTTATTTATTAATATATAACATATTATAAACAACAATTATTGCAAAAGAAACTCATGAAATATTTTTTTCTCTCTTTCTCTTTTCTTTTTCTCTTCTTTCTCTCTCTCTCTCTCTCACCGAATCTCTCTCTCTGTATCTTTGTCTTCGTGTTCTCTGTATTATTCTCAATTGCAGGTGCATGAATTATGCGATAATTTCTGTCATCGATATATCTCATGTTTAAAGGGTAAAATGCCAATAGATTTAGTGATTGACGAACGGGACACCACCAAACCACCAGAAGTAGGTTCAGCTAATGGTGAAGGAAGAAGTAATGCCGATTCGACATCGCACACCGATGGAGCTAGTACACCAGACGTTGTGAGTACCCCCTTCGCGGGAGCACATGGTCCTATATTGGCGAGCTACAATGCGGTGGTGCACCCATGTTCGTAGTACGATAACGACCTTCTTGCAAAAACGAAGCGGGTGCTCACAATGCCCTGGGATTAAATTAAATTAAACAAAAAATAAATAAATAAAATAATCATAATAAGCATTAATCTAAACAGAAATGAAAAAGTTAAAGCAAAAATCCGTACTATTATTAACTTTCAATGAAAACGAATAATGCCAAAAAAAAAAATTGCAAAATTTCGAAAAAAAAGGAAGAAAAAATATTTCCAAGCAAAGTAACATGGCCACAAAAGAAATTTGTAAATTTACTAATAGTAACAATACAAGAACTCGTTAAATTCGTAAACTCACCGCACAACACCAACGGCAAACAAATTCACAAGGCGCCGTTATGTACACGTATAGCAACAAAGAAAAATGTACCCAAAAATGGGCAGCTGAAAATTTTGTAAAAATTTTGAAAATAGAAAAAAAAAAGCAAAGCAGAAAAGCACAAAAAGCGAACAAAACAAAACGTACGAACGCACGCATGCACAAGCTAGCCGCCAAGCGCCAAAAGCAACAGCAACAACAGCAAGTGAGCAACAATATTGCCGCAGCAACATTCTTCCACTGGCGGATAAATCTACCAGCAGCTCAATGAAAATAAATTAATAAATATAAAATATTATTATTTTAAATTTTTCCTTTTTTAAAACAACAAAAATCGCGTTGCGCTCAAATCAATATTGAATAACCAGTAAAAAGCAAATTTGCAATATAAATTGAAAATAAAACAAAAATATTGAAGAAAACAATTCATTTTCAAATTGAAATCGTTTGCTGCTGTTGCTGACGCCGACGCAGACGCAGCTGCCGCACGCCAACATTTTTCATTGTCACTATACGTGGGTGCCGCATCGAGCATTTCCCAACCAACAACAATTGCCGCTCAAAATTGTGCACGAAAACAAATTACAACAATAAAACAACCATTGAATTTGTTTGTTGGCAGCCAGCAAACGCCAAAATGTTGCAATATTGCTGTTTGCAAACATTGTTTTGATGAATTTACAACACAACAACAACATGTTGCATGTAGCAATGTTGCAACATTTTGAGCGCTCGCTAGTTGTGCGGTGCGACTAAGTGAAATTATGTAAATATTACATAAGACATTTTTGCATAACAATAACAAATGGATAACTAGTCCGCAAACAAAAATAAAATTAATTAATAATTGTTTTTGTTCATTGTTTTTTGCCCAAAATAATAAAAAAAAACCGTATATTGTAAAAAGTATTTCCAAAAAACAAAAAAAAAAAAAAGAAAATAATGAAATTTAAAGCACAATATAAACAAAGCATTTGTAAAAAGTTTTCCAATAACAACAAACTACAACAAATTAGTTTAAACCAAAAGAAACTCAAGCATAAGGAAAAAAAGTACCACAACTAAAAAGCAAATAAGCAAAACAAAAATTAAATTTAATTAATTAATTTTGCATACAAAACAAAACAAACCAATTCAGCCAGGGTTTCTGAGTTAAATGAAAACGAGAAGCAAAAAAAACAAAGGAAAAAAACGAAACAAAAAGTTTTGAAATTGAAATTATGCAATGCAATGCGCAGCAACGCTATAAAATCAAATGAAACATTGTTTATAAATGCGCGCATTTGAAGAACATGGAATTGTGAGAAAACTCAAGAGTACTTCGTTTTTGCAAGAGGCCCATATAGCTCGCCAATATAAATAACTATTTACATAAATATATGTATAAACTAATTATATATATATATGTATATACGTATATATTATGCTATAATAATATATTAATACTAAAATCTATATATACATATATACCAACCAATCCATACTTATATACAATATATATATATATTATATATTTACCTTATATACATACATATATTCAATTTTATTTCAACTAATACTAAAAGTTTTAAATTAAATTATTTATATATATATATATATGTATGTAGTTTACTAACTACTTACCGTCAACCTACCGCCCATTCTAGCAACGATGCGCATTTAATTCTTTCTTTATGCCCCTATGTGGCAAGTATTGTAATAAGGGTGGTGTGCACAGTCTCGAAATTGCTGTTTCATTTCAACAAAATGTTGCTGTGCATACCATTTTTTGCCATATTTTTCTGTTTTTTTTTTTTAAATTTCTTTTAATGATTTTTCAATTGTAATTTTTTTTGTTTTTCTCTTTTTATATTTGCTTTAAGTAAAATTTCAAACTCATTTTTTCTCTTTTTTCTAATGACAATTTTTGATAAACTGCGTCACTGTAATGTTTATCTATTACCTTTAAAATTTTTCAAAAAAAAAAAACTGAATTTTAAACTTAAAATGCCAACCACCAGGATACAGCGAACCAGCAACAACTACACCAACAATTCGCGCTATTGGAACAGACCTATGCGCGGTATCATATTAAAGACGAGGCGGATTTTTAGAAATTTTAGAAAGGAAGGTACCTTTATTTTCTAATTTTTTTTTTACAATAAAAATGCTTTAAATTTTGAAGAATTGCTTAGGATAATATTCGCAATTGTCTTGCAATAATTAACAGTTCAAAGCAATCAGCTATTTGGCACAGCGATCAGTTGTTTGAGAACTTTACAATTTCATACGATAAATTCATTTTAAAAAAATTCTATTTTCCACTTAAGCACTTATCAAAGAGTGCTGTTTAGGTTGCCAGCCAATTATTATTGCTCATATATGTATGTAAAAGAAAAAAACCCTCAGCTATCAAGTGCAAGGTCCAAGTTTCCTATATTTGTAAATGTAAAAAAAGCTGCAATGGGCGTCAGTAGGCTACTTTCTCAATGGATTAGGTAGAACAAATTAAAATATGTCACAAAAAAACGTTATAAATATACACAAAACTTCGTTCACTACTACTTCAACTACTATTAATACTACTACTGCTACTACTACTACTACTTTTACTACTAAAACTACTACATAATACAAAATCGACTACTGTGCGAAAAGGATATACGTAATTATTTGCAGTGACTGAGTAAATAAGTAAAAAAAAAGTTAAAAGAAAATAATGATATATAAAAAAGAATTATTAAAAAAAAACAAAAAAAATATATATATACATATATATAAAGTATGAAAGGTCTAGTGTATATTGTGAGCGAAGTGCTAGTTTATAGTCAATAATAACCAAGGGCAATAGGAAGAACTTTTTTCTTTTTTTTTAATGTAAAATGCATACATACATACACGCCATGAGCGGATTTTTTTTTTTTTTTTTTTTTTTTTTTTTTTTTTTTTTTTTTTTAGGTTGACAGTTGTTTTGGTGAGAGTTGTTTTAGGGTTAAAACTTGTAAAATAGTAGAAAAAACTTGTGCGTAGAAACGAGTTTACTTAATATTATATGTAAGCTAAGTAATTCATATGTATGTATATAGACATATATATTTACAAATTATATAAAGCGGGTGGTGAAAAAGATTCTACCAACTGCGGGTTTTTTTTTCAGAAAATATTCCTTTGAAAAATGTAGAAGTGAAAGTAGCTTCTAAATATTATATATATATATATATACAAAATATATATATATATACAAAATATATATATATATACAAAATATATATATATATACAAAATATATATATATATACAAAATATATATATATATACAAAATATATATATATATACAAAATATATATATATATACAAAATATATATATATATACAAAATATATATATATATACAAAATATATATATATATACAAAATATATATATATATACAAAATATATATATATATACAAAATATATATATATATACAAAATATATATATATATACAAAATATATATATATATACAAAATATATATATATATACAAAATATATATATATATACAAAATATATATATATATACAAAATATATATATATATACAAAATATATATATATATACAAAATATATATATATATACAAAATATATATATATATACAAAATATATATATATATACAAAATATATATATATATACAAAATATATATATATATACAAAATATATATATATATACAAAATATATATATATATACAAAATATATATATATATACAAAATATATATATATATACAAAATATATATATATATACAAAATATATATATATATACAAAATATATATATATATACAAAATATATATATATATACAAAATATATATATATATACAAAATATATATATATATACAAAATATATATATATATACAAAATATATATATATATACAAAATATATATATATATACAAAATATATATATATATACAAAATATATATATATATACAAAATATATATATATATACAAAATATATATATATATACAAAATATATATATATATACAAAATATATATATATATACAAAATATATATATATATACAAAATATATATATATATACAAAATATATATATATATACAAAATATATATATATATACAAAATATATATATATATACAAAATATATATATATATACAAAATATATATATATATACAAAATATATATATATATACAAAATATATATATATATACAAAATATATATATATATACAAAATATATATATATATACAAAATATATATATATATACAAAATATATATATATATACAAAATATATATATATATACAAAATATATATATATATACAAAATATATATATATATACAAAATATATATATATATACAAAATATATATATATATACAAAATATATATATATATACAAAATATATATATATATACAAAATATATATATATATACAAAATATATATATATATACAAAATATATATATATATACAAAATATATATATATATACAAAATATATATATATATACAAAATATATATATATATACAAAATATATATATATATACAAAATATATATATATATACAAAATATATATATATATACAAA